GTCTTCTTTTTACTCATTTTTTCGGGAGAGCACCGTTCATTTTTCGGTGCCGTATTTTGTTGGCAGACAGTGGCGTTCCTTTTTATAATATTGACCTATGGCCCAGAAATGAGGGAAAAATGTCCCGTTGACGAGTGTCGCATGACCCGAAAAGTGCTCACGCTTACGTTCGCGACACGCATTCACCAGCGAAATGTTTCTAACAGCCGATCACCTTCCGCGGACCGCATCATCGCTTTTGCGGATGTACCAGCGGCCATGCTGTTTTGGCCATAAGCAGAAAACAGCCTGTAATATAACGGTGATCGTGTGACGTTTCTGCGACGTCGACATGTCAAGGCGACTTTGAAGTAGTTTCCCAATAAACCGTTTCCCACTTTTCCGGGCGTGTAACTCAGGAACCAGAGGTTTTTTTGGGTCTTAAAAAGGGTATGGCCGTGAACTGCATCAAAAAGTCCTCAACATGGCCATTTCAGTTCAAAACTCCAAATAAAGGTGGAACACGCCATTTTAAAATTGTTGGCTGCCATCCTTTTATATTTATTTTTCACATGCAAGTGTAAAAATCTGCATTTCAGATCATAAAAACATCAAATGTTACAGCAGAATGACGCAACTTGTTACCAACATCCAAACATTGGTAGATATTCAATCAGTAAGTCAAAATTGTTCTTTGCATGCAAGCAGCATGCAAATCTAGGGTTATCTGCGATGCTTGCCATGTGTAATGCATGAGTGTCAATTGTGATCAACTTCTGAGGCACTACCTCATTCCATGTTGGGCTGAGCCCTCTCAATGATGATTCCTTCCCCATCCAACATTTCTACCCGGAAAATTACAAAAAAATATGAGAAAAAGCTGACTAGCACAAAACCATCCTATCAGGGCTTTGTTTATTAACCATGACCCAGACCCATGGAATACTACCACCCCTAATCATGCATAAAGTTGACGCTCCTGTCATTATGTCACCACCACACAAATTATATTGATTTCTACCTTCAGTGTAGGCTGCAAATTAAGTAGGTTGTCTGTCTTCACAGCCTGCACTTAATGTATACAGTGATGATGACAAGGGTTTCATCAGGATCCTCATTTCCATCCATCAGGATCCATCAGTTTCATCATCACCACCTAACAACTCAGTGGTAGCAAAAACAGTATAGAAATACACCGTACTTGTATCCTGCAATGCAATGCGATTGTATCCTGCAATTTGCATACTGCATCATGCAATCCCATGCTCAGAAGTAGAAGGAAATATGCACATGAATGAGCACTGCAGAATGCATGGCTTCCAGAGCTTTCCTGTTACAGAACGGGTGCTATTATCAGGAAAAAGGGTAGCGTTGTCCTCAGAGACAACCAAATGCCAGCATTTCACTGACCTCAGAGGACAGTTGGACCACACTATCACAAACCCTCCTGCGATTTGAAATAAAACCCTTGGTGAAGGGGGAGATAGCAATGAAACCTGCACCGCCCCTCATTGCCCACATTTGCTACACCACTCCCACCTCTCAGTTGCATTGCCTTTCCATGGCCTGCGCCGTTGGCTATCATATAAATTTCCAGCAACAAAGATTTGTGTTGGCAAGACCTTGAACCATGAAAAATTGTTTAATTGCTGCCGAAACGTTGATGAAATAATTGCATTTCAAGCCGGAACATGGCTCTTGAGGATAGGTATGCGGAGTAGGGGAAAATTGTGCAATGTACCCCAAAATACAGATGTCTTCCAGATTACCGCACTTCTTCACAAACCCAGGGGAGGGCTGGAGCCCTGAACTGAATAAGAAACTAAGAACACCTCTGGTTTGTAGATCTATGTGACTGGTAGCCATTCGCAATCAGCACAAAAGCAAAAATTGCATAAATTGGCATTTTAGAACCATTATTGTCGTCTGTCATTCCCCTTTATGAGGGGTGCCATCTGACTTCAACATCGAACCCGCGGTTCTTTTCAAAGGGAAGAAGGCTGGTCGTTTGTGACTGCTACAGTGAGTCAATAGCCTTTTCAGCGTCTTGAAAAGGTAGTTTGGGAAATCACAGGTCAATTTCTACTGTGGTCGGATCATCTTGCCGACTTACCCCGACATGTTGCTGCCTCTCGTCGCTGAAAAGAGGATGCTGAATCGCGACACCACCAACGACGAAAACAACGCCAAAAATTAAACCTTAGGCAAGTATTCATGACTCTTTAATGCGAATGTCACTTGCAAAGTTGCGGTGCGTTTGAAATTCACCACCCGCCTCATATCAGCCGCATCGCAACGATCGAACATGCCCTTGCGACCAGAAAGTCCCCATATCTGCATCTTTTTCAGCATTTTATAAGGTATAGTTGAGACACTTGGGGGCGGATGTTAAAAAAGCGAATCGACCGGCCAACCGGATCATAGGAAATACACTGGTTTGTCCCTGATCTGCTACCAAGCCGAGGGACCAACTAAAAATCAAAGGATATCTTTGTCGGCGGTTTGGAATGAAACCTGGAAAAGATACCATAGCGCCGTAAGGTACGATAAAGAATCTTTACGGGAAGTTTTACTCCTAATGTGTGACGAAATGTGTTACGATTGAGGTATGATATCGATGTATGGAGCTCTCATGTTAAGTTTTGGACAATGTGTTGTATTATTTCATCTTGGCCGTCACCAAAATTTTCTATCAAAGACATTTTTGGCACCAAGCTTCGTGTGAATAGATAAATTTTTGTCGCCACGTTATCCACCAAGTTGACAGGTTTTAACACCCCTCGCCGACACCGACACCAACATATATCGACATTCCAACACCTATATTGTCACTTTTGCCCTTTTTGTTTCAGCTCACAGCGACTTGGCGTTATGTCCCAAAGTGATGTCGTGCTCGTATGTCAATGCTCGTATGAGTAACTGAAAGGTAGGTTCGTATGTATTGGTCTTCACAATGATTCGCCTTGAAACAAAACATCGCAAAAACATTCCAGCCTAAGGTTCGTACGGCAGGCAAAGAATGGATACCATTATCGATGTAATGTATCATTAAAGGCATCATCTCATCTTGTGCTTTTCACCTATTCTCACATCAGACGCGTATAATTTGATCGGTAGTGCCAGTTTTCCCAAAATCCTTTTGAACGGCTCAAAATTTATTTTTGAAGAAGCCGACCCTACGGAAGAAATATCATTTGACTCCCCGCTCACCAGTATGAAAGTAATACGTTTCATTTTTTTCTGGCTTTCCTACCGCTTTTGTGTATTCTGTAATGTTTACAGCACACTAGATGCTTGTGTAAATGTGTGCGTGTCAAAATGCTTGGGTAATAAATGCTACGTAAGCTTGAAACGTTTTGTTTGGGCAAAAATATATGCGAACATGAAGGTAGTAGTAACCCGCAAATTCAACGGAACGTTTTAGTACGCCTTCAATTTCTCCCGTGTCGTTAATCCCAGTCGCTTTTTTCGAGGTGCGTTTTGGCTTTGGGAATGGGAGTATCGCATGACCCATGTGACGCACTGGTTTAAACTTAAGTCAACCAACTTTTCGGCAG